GTCGAAAGTTTGCGTAGTGGAGTTTCAATATCGTCCCCCACAAATAAGCGGGTCAGTAAGCGGCGCAGCTCACGTTCTACCGTGCCGGATAGTGATGATGTCGAATCGATTTCATCGCACATAAGCAATGCTTCTGGTGCACCGAAACGCCGTGTGACGCGTAGCTCGGTGAAGGACAAAGTACGTACAAGAATACAAATATTGGTTCCTATTCTTATCGAAACTTTATTTCTCTCTTCTAATTAGGAGGACAATGACGATGATTTGGTGAGTGTTGCGAGCTCAGTTGGTAGTGAACGTACATCTAAGCGGCGTTCGAAAGAGTCTAAAAACTCGCCGAATACTACTTTGAGTACCATTCAAGAAGATGAAGCGGAAGGTCGGTATATATATTAAATATTTATTTGCATACGACTGATTATACAATTTTGTAGAAGAAGCGGGGCGGAAGAAGCGATCTCGACAGGCCAGAAAAAATGCATATAAATTGCAAGAAGAACCATAAGGTTCATAAGGTCAACACTTTTTTTATTAATTAATATTTTTGTTGTTGCAGTGTAAAACTGGAGTAAAATACCAATAAAGAGAATAAACGTTGGAAAAATTCTAGTACTATAAATATACATAAATATTTTTAATGTTTTGCATCTGCATTTTCCTAAAATACATTTCTAAATTTAATTAATATATTTGATTATTTTTTTAAGTATAAGCTTTCATTTGCTGTCATCTTGTTATTGTTTTTTTTTTTTTTTATTTTTTTTTTTTTTTTTTTTTTATTATAATATTTTCATAACTGTTATAATTTTTTTTTATAATTTTTATATATAAGTATTTTTCTTTAATTTCTTTTTTATAATATTTTTTAATAATCTTTTTTATAATTTCGTTTATTATATTTTTCTTATAATTTTTGATACTGTTTTTTTTTTTAATTTATATAATTTTTTGTTTTTAATTTTTATTTTTTTAAATTTTTTTGCGTTTTTAATTTTTTTTATAATTTTTTTTTGTAATTGTTTTTTTATTTATTAATTTTTTATATATTTCTTTTTATTAAAAAAAAAACAATTTGTTTTTTATTATATTTTATATTATTTTTATATATCTTTTTTATATATCTTTTTTATATATTTTTTTACATTTTAATCGTCTGGAAACAGTTGCGTGAGCAATGTCTCCAATTCTTCGTCCTGAAATTTTTATGGCTGTCCGGGTTGTTCTCCGTCGTCTAAATCGAAATTGCCACTTTCAAACCGTGCAAACCACTTTTGGCACGTTCGTTCGGCTAAAGCGTGGTCACCATAAAGGTCCAGTAAAATACGATGGCTTTCGGTAGCACTTTTCTTCATGTTAAAGTAATGAAGAAGAACTCCCCGCAAAAACACTTTATCTGGTACAAATTTCGACATTTTCAAATAAATGAAACAAATTGTTGTTCACGTTAAAACAAATGACATTTGCCGAAAACGACGCGAAATGACAGTACCTTT